TTACAATTTGTATCCTTCTCCCCCCTCCTTCCCCTATTTTTCTAGGGGGAAAGAAAAGGATAATGAAAACATTACCCCTGGTGCACGTACGTCAATCATCCGACCAGCCAGCCACCCGAACAACCAGTTCCTTAAGATTGCCCCCTAATCGCTATCTATGTAGTCTCTAGAACTTAGAATGTCAGGACCAAGTCATATATCCTTTGCACTCGCTGCTATCTTGAACTGAACACATAAACTAGGATTCCATGAATACCTCATATGGCCAATGAAGGACGAAAAAGAAGACTATGAACAGATATGTTTGTATATAAAAAAGTAAACAAACATTTGTATACCCTTGTAATCCACTTAAAGGATAATCCTTTTTGTAAGGATACAAGTGTATATATGTGTGTGTGTGTGCGTGTGGGTGCACGCTATCAATATGCTACAAAAGCCACAAGAACAAAACCAAAAGTAGATCACCCACAAAAAAAAACTGGAAGACCTACTACAACTAACAAAACCCATCATGATACAATTTATACAAACTAACAAACACACACATAGTTACTTACATGTGTAAGGATGTTTTAATACCCACATGGATTTCTATACACAGAAGCCAACTAAGACGGCAGCCTAGTTAGAAACAGACACAGAAGACAGGCAAAGAGATAGACGGATAGAGAGACAGGAAGATAGACAACCGGAGTACATTAATTCATAAACAAACAAAAGACTCATAGACAAACATATGTCGTATGTGTGTGTGCGTGAGTGTGCGTCTGTTTGCCGCAGCGGGTGTTTTATAAATTACACACATGACTTCAAATGATTGGTATTTGTGGTGAATTTAAATTAGTTGAACAGGTAAAGTGGGGGAATTATTGGAAATAAAAACCAAATTAAACAGTGGGTTTTCTACTTTCTGTTGGAGGGTGATAGAGGATACTTTGGGGATTCCATGAATAAAAAAGGACCCTGAGAAAAATATTTAAAAAACTCCACGGCTTCTAAATGTTTTGACTTATTACTTCAAAATTTCGTCTAAAAGGCCTTGAAAAAATCCTAAAAAATAACGACTTCGTGAAATGACCCAAAAAAGAATAAAATTGTAAAAAATACAATTATAAGACTTGGAAAAATCTTAAAAATTTAAAAAAAAAAAATTGCGATTCTTAATTGGTCTTGAAAATTCCCAAACAATTCTATAGTCATTGAAAAAAAAAATTAAATAAAATCCAATACTACAATAGGCCTCCAAAGAAATTACTGAAAAATCCATAGACCTTAAAAAAATACTAAAAAAATCCTTACACAAAAAAATCCAAAAATTTTCTTAAAATAAAAAAACAAGGCTCCTAATAGGTCTTGATAAAAATTCACGATCTCTAATAGGTCTTGAAAAAATCCTTTAAAAATCCAAGACCTCTAATAGTCTTTCAAAGGACTCCTAAAAATATCGATGAGCTTTGAAAAAATTTATATATAATACAAAACTTTTAAATGGGCCCCCAATTCACAGTTCCTAAAGGGTCTTGAAAAAAGTTTAAAAAAAATATATATTCTCCAAATAGGCCTTGAAGTAACTTAGGATCATTTAAAAATTCTTAAAATACTTGAATTCATTACGACTTCTAATAGGCATTGAGGAAATTCTTTAAGAAATTTACGATTTTCAATAGGAATTGAAAAAATTCTTTACAAAATCCGCAACTTCTTAAATCTGTGAAAAATTCTTAATAAAAATCTATGATTTGTAAAAATTAATAAAAAAAACGAAGATGTAAACAGGCTTTGAAAAAAATGAAAACTTCCACAACTTCTCTTAGGCCTCCCAAAAAATTATTTTCAAAATCCACAATTCTTTATATCCTTAATATCCCTTTTTGAAAAAATTCCTAAAAAACTCCTTATACGCCTTAAAAAAAAATATGACCGCAAATAGGCTAAAAACCCTAAAAAAAAGTCCATGACTTCCTGCAGCTTCTTCAGCCTTGCGAAAATTCTGATAATCAAAAGAATAGCAAATTTAGGTAGGACTTTGAAAAATTCCCAAAAATTCTATGACTTCTTATAGGCATTTCAAAAAAATATCAAAAAAAACCCATGACTCCAAAGAGTTCTTAAAAAATTCCGAAACCTAAATAGTTCGTCAACAATTTCTTAAAAACTTACAATAAATATTGGGAATTGAAAACCCACTTAAGAAAGATCAAATGTCAGGCGGCTATATGATACCCTACAATATTATGCATATTCAGCCAGATAAATACCCTCTGCCAATTTTCGGTGATTTAAATATATTTTGAATTATTTTATGATTATTCAAATTGTTTGACCCTCTATGGAGTAGGTTCCAAAGGAATGGGCCCATAATGTCCATTACGTATCGGACCTAAATAGTTATGATATAAATATTGCGACGTGCCAGGCTTGGACTATATCGACTGCTTCGTTCACTTTATATGAGATATGTGCTAATTTTTAGAAAATGTTAAAATATGAGTGAGGTACAAGATATAGTCGACAGAAGTCCATTCTGTTTTCATACATCGCCTAATACAGATAAATACATTGGTATGGTACTTTTTCGCAAGCTGTGACAGAAAAAAGTATTGAAAATTGTGACTCTTTGTGGGTGAGGTAGCAGATGGGGTTCTCTCATATATATCATTTTCACAACAAATCTTGTGTTAGCAAAAATGATTATATTTGTGAAATTGGAAGGGAGAAGGGCAAATATTCCATTTGCGCTTTCATTGAGCGTTAAGTTTTTCAAAATCTTGAAACCTATGTGGAAGAGGTAGCAAAAGAAATGGTCCGATATCTACCATCTTTTTAACAGATCTTGGGTTTATGGAAATATTGAGATATACCAAGTCTGAATAGATCGGATGTCAATTTCGCCTTTTATGAGGTTCATAAAGATTTAAAATTTTGACCCTTTGTGGGGGAGGTACCAGAAGGACAACATATATTGTGTCGTTAGAAATAATGAGATGTTTGAAATATGAAGATCGCTTGGATATTCAAAACTTTGACCCTTTGTGAGGGAGCCACCAGAATGAATGGCCCGATTTGTACCATCTTTATAACAGATCTTGTGTTGATGGAAATATTGAGATGTACCCAGTCTGAACGCAATCGGATGTTAATTTCGCTCTTTATGGATATTCAAAATTGTGACCCTTTGTGGGGGAGGTACCGGAAGGAGTGAACCGACATATTCCATCTTCACAACAGATCTTGTGTTGGTAAAAATAATGGCATGTGTGAAATATGAATAGATCCGGATGCTTATTTCGGGTTTTATAATCGTTTTGGTAATTCAAAACTTTTGTCCTTGGTGGGGGAGGTAGCAGAAGCAATGACACGATCTCTGCCATCTTTATAACAGATCTGTGTTCATGGAAGTTTTGAGATATGCCAAGTCTGAATGGAATCGGATATTAATTTCGTGTTTTATGACCTTAATGAATATTCAAAATCTTGATTCTTTGTGAGGGAATTACCAAAAGCAGTGGACCGATATATCCCATCTTCACAGTAGACCTTGGATTAATAAAAGTATTGTGATGTGTTATTGGAAACAATCGGACTCTTACATCACATTTTATAAGAGTTATAATTATTCAAAATTTCAACCCTTTCTGGGAGGTACCTGATGGAGTGGACCGAAATTGTCACTTTTCGAACCTGAATCAGTACTGATGCAAATATTAGGATTTGCAAATTTGGAGCAAAATCGGATTATCCTTTCTCTTTCTGTGCAGTAAAATATATTGTGCAAATTTTAAACTTTTTTGACGGAGATACCAGAAGGAGTGGACCAATATATTCCATCTTCGCACCAGACTTTGGGTTAATAAAAACATTGGGATGTGTGAAATTTGAAGACAATCGGACTTTTAAATCACATTTTATAAGAGTTGGGAAGGTACTTGATGGAGTGGACCGATATTGTCCATTTTATTTAAGCACTGACGTTAATATTTGGATTTGCAAAGTAGGAGCAAAATCGGATTATCGTTTCTCTTTCTGTGCAGAAAATATATTTTTGAAAATCTCAAACTTTTGTGGGGGAGGTACCAGAAGCAGTGGAAAATTAAGGATTTTTTTTTTTGAATTTTAATTTATATTTCTACAGTCGTGCACTTTTATTTTTTAAAGTCCTTCATTTTGAAAAATATTTTTTTAAAGTCAAATATTTATAAAAATATAAAGTTATTGAGAAAATCGAGAATGTATTAAAAATATTTTTTTAAAATTACTTTTTTAAGAAAATTACAAATTTCAGAAAAAAAATCTCAAAAAATCCACCCTCCTTGGTTTTTCAAGGACGCTGATAATCGTCGAAAAAACATTCTTCTGTTAATCAATGAAATAAATAATCCTTAAAAATCTCCGAATCTTAATAGTCGGTAAAATAATTTTAAAACCCTCGTGGGTTAAAAATATTTAAAAAAAACAAACATTAAGTACTTGAATAGAATTACTGTTAAAAATACCGACTTCTTCTTCTTCCTGTTAGGCCCCGTTCCTTTAATGAATTTTCCTAATTTTATTTTTTCCTATTTTTCATGTTTTTCACCACTGTTTTCAATTTTATTCGATTTTAAAAACTTCTTTGCGGAAACCACATTATCATCAAATCGATTGCGGTTGTTATCCCCATCTCTCTTTCTCTCTCTCTTCCAGTAATCTACAGGATCTTAATAGTGGTAATACAATCTGTTACAAATCACAATTGTTATTTTTATTGAGACCCACTGACATGCTTCCGATACGCTTCCATTTTACCTTTAACACTCACGCACACACACTCACTTTTAAGTTCTGCCATTATCCTCCTAACCGAACAACGTGTAGCAAATCAAATGTGCTATCATTGTCGTCATCATCATCATCAACTACTGCCACATCACTGGCATTCTCTCCCACTTCCACATCGCCCGACATTATTGACATCATCCCCATCATCCACCCGACATTATCATTAAGTGCAAACTTACCTGGCAATTTGTTTGAAATTAAATTTACGTCTCGGCTTCTTGCTCTTGCCCTCACCGCGTCCCTTCTTCCAGACATGGGTACGCCAGGCGGGATCCTGATACTCAAAGGATGGCCGTAAATAGTACAGCGACATTTCCTGATGAAAGACGGGTGTTATCGATGCTGACATTGGTGGCACAATCCAGATCCAATCGGCGGGACAGCCATTGCTGCAAAGGCAGATAGATAAAAGAAACACAAAATGAGAAAATAAAACGAATTGACAATCGGCTAATAATAAAATGTAAAATGGAGATTTGAAATGTTTGTTTTGAAAGTTTTCTTTTATTTTGGAATTAGGATGTTTGGGTAATAACAATGACAATTGCTGAAATAAAGAGCAGGAAAAGGGATTTCCCTAGTCATGGCTGTGAAAATAAAAATCTTCATGTCATGGCAAATTAAAAGTTGGCTGAGTTGGTTTTCGAATTGCGTATAGGTTTATTGTTATGAGGTTTTATGAAAGTTTTAGTGTTGACATCATTCGTTGATCCGGGGTAATAATGTGCGGGATTTTGGGGTTTAATTTGTAAAAATTAGAAACAACTTCCGGGTTTTGAAGAGATTTTATTTTAGTTTTGTAATTAGTTTGGATAAAGGCAAGTAAAAGATAGGTAGGTCGTGACCTCGTATGTATCCCCATCAAAGGCATTAGAAAGGGTGTGGGAGTGAAAGCCACTTACAAAATAGGTTTTGTTACACACATCAATGCCAGTTTACAACCAGAGCTTTAAAGTCAATTTAAGCAAGATACATTCCAACCCGACAATTTTGGCCATTATATAGATTTTAAAAATATTTTTTTAAATACTTTAAGAATTCTTGGACTTTAAAAAAAAAAAAAATTAAAGCCTAAAAGGATTTGTGGACTTTTAAAAATAATTTTTCAAAATGCCAAAAACGATTGGTGGATTTTTCAAAAAAAAAGTGTTTTCAAACTATATTTTTATTTTTTACTCGTGATTTTTTAAAAACATATTTTTAAACGGCAATAAGGATTTGTGAGTTTTTAAAAAATATATTTTAAGGCAATAAGGACTCTTGGATTTTCCAAAGAAAAAAAAACGTTTTAGCCAATAAATTTTAATTTTTTTAGAGACAGTAATATTTTGTTTATAAAAAATTATTTTTTAAGCCAATAAGGATACGTAGATTTCATCGATTTCATAGCTTAAAAAGATTTCTGGAATTTACAAAATTATTTTAAAGCTTAAAAAAGTTCGTGGATTTTTCAAAATATTTTTTCAAAGCATAAAAAGATTCGTGGATTTTTAAAAATATTTTTTTAAGCATAAAAAAAATCGTTTATTTTGTCAAAACATTTTTGAAAGGATTCGTGGATTTTTCAAAATATTTTTTAAAGCATAAAAAAAAATCGTTTATTTTGTCAAAACATTTTTGAAAGGATTCGTGGATTTTTCAAAGTATTTTCTCTAAGCTTAATATTTGAATATATTTTCAAACCTTAAAAAATTCGTGTATTTTTAAAAATATTTTTAAGGCTTAAAAAGAGTCCTAGATTTTTCAAAATATTTTCTCTAATTTTAATATTTGCATATTTTTTCAAAGCTTAAAAAGATTCGCAATATTTTTAAAAGCTTAAAAAGATTCGTAGATTTTTCAAAATAATTGTTCAATACATTTTCTAAAAACCTGAAAAGATTCATGGATTTAAATTTTTTTTCAAAGCCCATAAGGATTCGTGGATTTTTATAAACATTTTTGAAAGCCCATAAGGATTTGTGGATTTTTTAAAATATTTTTTTAAAGCTAAAAATATTTCGTGGATTTTTCAAAGTCCATAAGGATTATTGGATTTTTCAAAACAATTTTGAAAGCCCAAAAGGATTGATGGATTTTTCAAAAATATGTTTTCAAAGGTTAAAAAGTTTCGTGAATTTTTCGAAATATTTTTTCAAATCTTAAAAAGGTTAATGGCCTTTTCAATATACGTTTTAAACGCTTAAAAAGATTCGTAGAATTTTCAAAATATTTATTCAAAGCCCATAAGGATTTGTGGATTTTTCAAAATATTTATTTAAAGCCCATAAGGATTTGTGGATTTTTAAAAATATTTTTCGAAGACCATGAGGATACCTGATTTAAAAAAAATTAATCCTTTAAGGATTTTTTGAATATTAAAGCCTTCGTAGATTTTCAAAAAAATATTTTTTAAAGCCTTGGACCATACCTGGGCGTGTTTTTGGAGTTAATATAAGGACTACTAAAAGTTACTATGATGGGTATAGGATGTTGTTATATTGTTGTTGAGATAAAAAAAACTGCAACCAACTTCAGACTGCATTCATTTCTAAGCTACTTGTCCGACAGCTGTTAAAATTATTCCAGTGACAGCTCATTATATTGTTTACACGCGTACGAAAGCAATTTGGTGAGTATTTTCCAGAAAAAAAGTTATTCGTGATGGAATTCAAGCGTGATAGTGTGATTTCTTTCTATTTAGCTGGAAAACCACAAGTGACTATCGTTAGAGCACTCCTGCATTTAAATGTGAATAAATCTTTGGTGTCTCGTACAATCGCTCGTTACCGTGATACTGGTAGCGTAGCCCGACGTCAAGGAAGTGGAAGTGGACGGAAGAAAACAGCAACATCAGCAGAAATGGTTTGAAAAGTAAAGAAGCGACTTGATCGAAACCCGTGTCACAGTGGCCGAACAATAGCTCGTGAGCTGAACATATCGCAATATTCCATTCGGCAAATATTGAAAAATGAGCTCGGGGTAAAGCCATTGAAATTCCAAAAAGTGCAAAACTTACACCGCAACAGAAAAAAATAGACACAAAAGAGCTAAAGAGTTGCTTCGCTTGGATGAAAGTGGTGAACTGCCGAATTTGGTTTTCTCCGATGAGAAAACATTCGTTGTCCAGTAGATTGTAAACATACATAATGGTCGTGTGATCGGCGCTTGCCAAAGAGGTCAGCTGAAAATGTACACCTTCGGTTGGCCACCAGAACTCAAGCGCCGGCTATGGTGTTGGTGTGTGCCACAATAACAGCCAATGGTCGCTCTCCACTCGTATTAGTCGACTGTGACATCAGAATAAATATCGGAATATTATCGCGAAAATATTCTGGAGGGTGTATTAAAGCCTTGGGCACGCAACCATTTTGGCCGCAGACCTTGGACATTCCAACAGGACTCAGCACCATCACACTCAGCACGCGCCACACAAGAATGGTTACCAAATGAGGTTCCTCGTTTCATTTCAAGCGCACAGTGGCCACCAAAATCTCCGGATACCAATCCGTTGGACTATTGTGTCTGGAGTATTTTGGAAAGCAAGGTTGGCACTAAAAAATACCACAGTGTCGATCACCTCAAGCAAGCACTTCGCCGGCAATGGGCCAAAATACCGCAGAGCAACATTCGGGCAGCGTGTGACGGTTTCATTGGCCGTTTGAAGGCCACGATTCGTGCAAAAAAGTGACCAATTCGAACAAATCTAAACTATTTCTAAAATTTGATGCTTTTCCGAAATTTTTTGCTTTCATTCAATAAAATTAAAAAAAAAATTAAATATTATGGCGTTTGCCTTTGTTACAGTTTTTTTATCTCACCCTGTATACCCTCTTTAGCCATAACGCTGAGTGTACAATTAAACCTTAAAACTATAAAGTTTTCGTGAATTTCTAGAAAAAAAATTCGTAGCCTAAAAGGATTCATGAATTTTGAGAAATATTTTTCAAAAAAAAATTTTTTTAATTTAATTTTTAAAAGCTAATAAAGATTTCGAGTTTTTTAAAAGGAATTGTAGATTTTAAAAATATTAAAAAAAAAATAATGCGATTTTAGAAGAAATATTTTTTTTAGGTCTAAATGGTTGCGATTTAAAAAAATATGTTTAAATCTTTTAAGATTTTTTTTTGGATTTTCATTTTTTTTTTTTTTTTGAAAACCCTAAAAAAAGTAAATTTTTAAAAAATATTTTTAAGTCCAAAATGAATCTGAACTTATTAAAAATATGTTTTAGGCCCTAAAAGGAAGGGACGATAACATGGTTTAATAAACATTTTTTAGTCGTGGAATGTTGAAGACTATCTTTGAGATACTATCAAGACTCAAGAAATTTGCGTTTTTAGAAAAATGTTGAAAGGACTTTTCGGCCAAATATTCGTAGTTTTTAATCGAGGAATTAAGAATATTTTTGTATGATTAGCAGAGCAGTAATAGTGATCTCATAATTTAATTATTTTTTTACAGGTCTCAAAAAAATGTTTGAAAAAATCCGAAATTTTGAAAATATCACATAAGCTTCGATAAAAGGAAATATTTAAAAAATCCGCGGAACTTTATTTACATACTTATTTTATTTTTTTATTTTTTAAGAATATATTATGAATAATTAATTCTCATGAATATTTTAAATGTTTTTTAGATGCTATTATATCAAAGATCATGAATAGACGTATTACAGTGGACTATTTTCGATTATTTTTCCGGAACTGAAAAAAACTTATATTCGTGAATTATTACAAATGTTTTCTCAAGAAAAACAAAAGCCACAATCAAAGACTTTAACTCAATCGCTGCGACGGTTCCATAAGCTACCACTGTCAGTCGCACGTGTTTCCTTGGAAAAAATCAGCAGAGCAACATTTGTAGGCGCGAAATGTTGAATAAAAAATCGAATAGTTATTTCGATGGACCCAACATATTGGAATGATAGAGAATTAAAATTGACGAGAATAGCTCCAAGAGGTCTTGAAAAAATACTTTAAAAATCCTCGTTTATTGGTAGATTCTTAAATAGGGCTACTTAAAAATCCTCGTTTCGTGCTTGGATGGCCCATTAAATATTTTCTTAAAAAATCCTCTTTTACAGGAAGATCCTTCAAAAACACTACTTAAAATCCATGTTCAGAGCTTGGAAGGTTCTTGAACTATATTCTCTAAAATCCCCCGGTTTATAGCTTAAAAGACTATTCTTTAAAAATCCACGTTTATAGCTTGGATAATCCTTGAAAAAATTTTCAACAACAATCCTCCCATTCATATATTGGATGATCCTTGATAAAATATGCTTTAAAATCTAAGTAGACAGCTGCGATGGTCCTTGAAAAAATATTCTTAAAAATTCTCCGATCCTTAAAAATCCCCAATCATTATTATTGGATAAGTCATCAGGCTAAAATTTGGGGGTGTGAAA